CTTACATAATGGATCGCGAAAGCTGAAAGACCTTAAAGACTACAACTCGTTAATCTTACAGTGGTGAACCCTGCCAAGATTAGGGGACTTAACTATTCATATGGCAAGTAATCCTCAGATCTGGATTCAAACTCACGTCTCTGGGATCCCAGTCCAGTGTTCTTTCCATTGCCTTTCAAGTGCCAATATGAGATGACTAAAATGATCAGGAAACAAACAAAATCACTCTCTCGTCTACACACACACACACACACACACACACACACCCCACACCACCTCAAAATAGCAAATGTGTCACATAAAAAAGAAAGTAATTCTATCAGTTTTATGCGCACTAAAAAAAATAATAAATTGAAAAAACAATCCAAGTCTCTGGGAGCTATTTTAAAGAACTGTGTAGAAAGTACATTGTATTGTTAAAGAGGGTTTGAGTTAATTGCTCATGGAAGAAACATTTATCTGGGTGGAGGTTTATGCTTGACTTACACAGGCTTTCAGCCTGAAGGGTGTAATAGCTGAATGATTCTCTAAACCTTAATCTATTTTTCATACGGTGTGATGACAGTCATCATCTGAAATCATTTTTACGTTTCCCAGAAGTGTGGAAAAGCTAACTTAATCTTACTTTTATAACTTGTTTAAAGGGCACCTTTTTACTTTTAGTTTTAAAATAATTTTTGAAAGGAGCTGCCACTCTCAAGGAATCCATCTATTTAAGGTTCTCAAGGACATAAATGAGCTCTTGTGGAAGGGTAGACATTTGTTATATTTCTGCCGCGGTTATGGTTATCCTTGATGATTTGGGGAGTGTGATTATTCTTTTTCTGACTCTCGAATTTTTTTTTTTTTTTTTGCGGTACGCGGGCCTCTCACTGTTGTGGCCTCTCCCGTTGCGGAGCATAGGCTCCGGACGCGCAGGCTCAGCGGCCACGGCTCACGGGCCCAGCCGCTCCGCGGCATGTGGGATCTTCCCGGACCAGGGCATGAACCCGTGTCCCCTGCATCGGCAGGCGGACTCTCAACCACTGAGCCACCAGGGAAGCCCCTCAATCAACTTTTACATTGTGATCCGTACTGTTCGTAGGTTTGTTTTAATATATTTATTTATATTAAATATAATATGAAATATATATTCGAGAAATACATAATAAATTTTAATAAATATAATTATAGATCATTATCAATAAATATAATAAATTACAAATAAGAAATTAAATAAATATTAAATATAAATATTTACTTCTTTATATTAAACTTCCAGCACTCTCTACCCCTCTTGTGCTTTATTTTCCTCTATAGCACTTATGGCATCTATGAAATCATAGAGTTCACTTATATTCTTTGGTGGTGTCTACTCTCCTCCCAGTGAGGGTTATTTTGTTCACTGCTGCACACCAGTGCCAAGAACAATGCGTGGCATTTAGCAGGGCTCAATAAATACATATTGAATGAATTGGTGGCGTGTTGTAAATGATGTTAAACCAGATTCTCTGGTAGACGTGCCTTCTGTGTCCCATGACTTAGAGGCACACCTCATCCTCAGTGACAATTGTTCCCAGTACTAGAAGTAAAAACATGTTACGTTTGGGGAACAGAGGAGAGGGAAGCAACACTGGCTCCTCCCCACGTGCCTGGCATCACGAGATATTTCTTGATTTCTGAGCCATGAGTTCCATAAGCAGTGCTCCACGAGCCCATGTAATGACACATTTCTTGATTCCTGATGAATCAGGTAATTTGAGTTTATTTCTCGCTATACGTGCTCTGATTTCATGAGGTTGGTCTGCAGTGGCCTGAATTCGCCTGGATAATACTGGTCTCCCTGCCCATCTAGATCCTTCTCTCCCTGCCCATCTAGATTCTTTTCTTCTCTCAAAGCCCAGCTTGCACCAAACCTCTTTTGTGACATTAGCCTTAACTTAGTGGTCCCAATATCAAGGTCAGTCTTTTTCTCCTGCTCAGAGGGCAGCATCTTGGGCCCAGTGAAGCCAGGGAATGGATGTGTGTGGGCTCCACTGAGGTGGCCTGAGAGAAAGAACAAGTTGATTTCAAAGTACATGTAGCAATTTTGAAAGAAAGTACAATGGTGTAAATTAGTACCTCCTCCACTAAACCACAAACACCAATCAGGAACTCATTTTACTCCTCTGTCTTTCCTCTCAGTTTTCAGGAAAACACTTACTTTCCATCATCTATGACAGTTTTAGACATAAAAAGCTTACCTTTGGCCTGCCCATAGCCCCTTGATAAGATGTAGTCAGGCTTTAAATGCAGGTTCTTGTAGTCACTGACAGTTCTGAGCTCGCTAAAAGACAGCTACCTTGTTATTCTTTGACAGCACCCCAAAATACCTTGTTTATACACCACCATCAATACATTTAATGTAACAAGCCCTTATATAGATCTTCCTTGTGCCAGGCACTCTTCTAAGATGATTACACATATTAACTCATTATCCTACAAAACAACTTTACTATTAGGAAGGTTCTACTATTATCCCCATTTTACAGATGAGGAAACTGAGGCACAGAGAGGGTGAGTAAAGCCATATAGCTGGTAAATCCAGAACTGGGATTCAGACCCAGGTACTCTGGCTCCTGAGACCACGTGTTTAACCATTAGTCCACTTGTCTCACCTTTGTTCTTCTCCACCAGCCTCCCTGTACCTATCAGCCAACCCCTTGCCACTGATCTTTTCTTTGCGGTACACGGGCCTCTCACTGTTGTGGCCTCTCCCGTCGCGGAGCAACAGGCTCCGGATGCGCAGGCTCAGCGGCCATGGCTCATGGGCCCAGCCGCTCCGCGGCACGTGGGATCTTCCCGGAGCGGGGCACGAACCCGTGTCCCCTGCATCGGCAGGCGGACTCTCAACCACTGCGCCACCAGGGAAGCCCCTTTGCCTCTGATCTTTATTCTTCCTGGTCAGAGAAAGACCCTGCGGCCTTTTTCTAAAATCATCCCTCAAATGGACCAAGGTAAATTTCTTGCAATTGAAATCATTTCAGTGACCTTCATTCTTCACAAACACTCACCGATGCTGATTAGTTTACTTCTTGGCTGACCCCTGCTTTTCCATGCTTTGATCAAACACAACCATCTCTTAAAATGCTCAGACCATTTTCTTTTCTCTCTCTGCATTCTCCAACGAAATGTTGGCAAATGGAAAGTTCAACCGGAAAATGCCTTGATCTGAATGAAGTTTGGGGAAGATGAATCCAGTGCTGATGGTTGGAGGGGGTCAGGGCAGGGTGTGTTATTGAGAAACTGGGTGTAGAAAGCTTGTTAGATAGAAACTTTAACTTTTGTGGTCATGAAATTCTGTAGGAGCTTTGGGAATGGAAAGGAAGGGGTGGATTCAAGAGGCATTTCAGAAAGAACAATGGATTGGACTTGTGGGCAACTGCCTCTAGGAATAAGGTGGAGAAGGGAGTGAACATGATACCGCTATTTTGGGCCTGAATGATTATAATGAGAGTGTCGTTACTTGAAATAGGTCTATCAGGAAGCTACTCTGATTCAGGAAGAAGAAAAAGTTCATTTTAGAATTTTTGTCATCATCCCACTGGAAATGTTCAACAGTTGGAAGACACCATAAGTGAGCATTTAATGAGATGCCTTCAAGTGTCTAACAGGGCACATGATGTTAAATCTCCTACAGTAATTACCATGAAGGGGAGCTGAGGGTGAGGTCACCTTTTACACTGGCCTCATGGAGGCACTTGCCAGAGTGTGTGGTGAGTGAGATCCTCTCCAGCTCTCAGCTACAGAGGTGGAATTTGGCTTATGATTTGAATGTAAAGGACACGGCTTACCATACAGCCTAACCCCAAACAGTAGCAATGACTTTTCTTTGTCACACCTAAAAATCCTTAGAAAGTGACAGTGCCATTAGTTATGTGGCAAACTGGTTCTGTGTTTGATCTTACTTCGTATTAATTTTTACAATAACAAACTCAAGTGATCTTGAGCCCTCGCCCCGGTTTGTTTCTCCAAAGGCCCGGACAGTGCCAGCAGTCTACACATTGAATGGTGAGAACCGAAGGCTTCTTGAAATTTAGCCTTATAATCAGGCACTCAAGGTAAAAATGCAGAAATAAAAGCTGCAAGTCTTAGCATAGCGCCAAAAGAGCTCAATAGGAAGGGCCTAGAATGGTGTGTTCAAGGAGACGGAGAGATTGGCGGGCAATGTCCTGAAACAGTACCTCAACAATCCAAAGGAGTCTGATGATTCAGGTTAGGAATTAACGCCAAATCTCGGGTTGGTACACCCTCCCCGATTTCATATAAGCTCAAGAGTAGTCGCCTTGCCCGGCAGAGACCATTAAATGACTTGCGGCAAATCTCTTCCTTCAAAAGTCTGACTTTGACCGCCAACCTTACTTCCAGCCAAGTCGATCCTCCTCCCTCCAAAGGGGATAAGCGGCCACGGGTTAGCGTGGGCCCTCGCGGCTGGGCCGACTGTTCGGAAGCACCCGATTTTCGGAGGCTGTGGGACGGAAAAATAAATCCAGTCCGGGTTTTGTCTGCGCGGGGCGACCGGAGGGCTGCGAGGAATGGCTCGAGAAGAGGGGGGCGGTAGTGGAAAATACACAACACAAACAGCTCGCGCCGGGGCACGGCAGCTGCAGGCCCGGAGCGCGCGGGCCCGGTAGCCGGCCGCATGGAGCGAAGCGCGGCCCGCGGCTCCGGGGCGGCGGCGGCGGCGAAGGCGGCAGCGCGCCGCTCGCTCACACCCACCCCCGCCCGCGGCCGCCGCGCCGCCCCGCCGTAGCCGCCGGCCGCCGGCGTCCCCACGGGCCGGTCCAGCGAAGGCGGCGCCCGCGCCTCTGCAGCCAGTGGCAGCCGGCGGCCCGGGGAGGCGGCCCCCGCAGCCCCCCGCAGCCCCGCGCCCCGGGCGCCTGCGACCACAGCGGCCGCCCGGGGAGGAAGAGGAGGAGGAGGAGGACGAGGGGGGAGGTGACAAACTCCGGCTCGGCGCGGCGGCAAGCAGCCCGCGGTCAGGCATGCAGGCGCGGCGTCTAGCCAAGCGCTCCAGCCTGGGCAGCCGCCGGGGGAACGCCGCGCTGCAGCCGCCAGGCCCCGCGCCCGCCCGGGAAGGCGCGCTGCCCGGGCTCCCGCTTCCCGCCCCGGCCCCGGCCCCGGCGCCGGCCCCAGCCCCGGTCCCGGAGAGCTGGAGGCCGCCACTGCCGCCGCCGCGCAGCGCCGGGACCGGCCCCCCTCGGGCCGCCGGGGCCGCCGCCGCCGCCTCGTCTCCGGTGCTGCTGCTTCTGGGGGAGGAAGACGAGGACGAAGAGGGCGGGAGCAGGCGGCGGAGGGGGCTCGGGCGGGTGCAGCCGAAGCCCCGAGGGGGCGCGGAGGAGGAGGATGACGACGAGGAAGACGAGGACGAGGAGGTGGTCGTCGAGGTGGTGGACGGCGACGACGACGACGAGGACGGCGAGGAGCGCTTCGTGGCCCTCGGCCCCGGCCGCCAGCTCCCCAAGGGCCCGGGCCGGGGAGCATTGAAGGTGTGTGCGGGTTGCGGGGACTAGCGCGCGCGGGACCCTCCTGCGCGGTGAGGGGACGGGCCCGGGGGCCCGGCGCGGAGCGGGTTGAGGCCGGTACCGGGGACCGCAGAGGCCGGGCCGGGAGGGGTGTGTCCGGCGGCTCGGGTGGCCGCGCGGGCAGAGCCAGGGGGCTGATGAGCTCACCGCTCGGGCCCCAGCACCTTCACCGGGCGGCCGCTCCCTCTTTCCTCCAAGGCCGAGGCCGGCGTGCTGTCTGATGTGGGTGCGGGCAAAGGACGCTTCTCCCGAGCGAGGCGGGGAACTTGGCGATGGGACGAGGTAGGCGCCGGTCTGCGCCCGGTGGGGACGGGCGAGGTAGGGAGGCAGTGAGGTTGTAGTCCTTCCCGAGGAAGCACGAGTGGCCCCCTTCCCCTTATTCTGAGGACTAGTCAAGCTCATAGGAACTAGCAAACAGCTTCTCTTCTCAATCTCTCAACCCCTCCTGCCTCCAAGAACAATTGTGGATGAGTTTCCGTCAAAAGCGCCTGTAAGGGAACCGGTAAACCCAGAAGAGCAAAAAACCAAGTCCCGGTGTATACATGCATTTTGCTGGCAGCTTTTGGCAATGCCGCCCCGCCCACCCCGTACCCGCGGCTTAAAACTCGACATTGTTTGGCATTGGGGTTTTTTTCCCCTCCTCAACATAGCAAATGGGAAAAAAAAATAGGAAACCAGAGAAAGTGGGGGGGAATTTGCCATTTAAAATAGACGTGAGTTTCTGCTGAGAATTCAAGCAAAGGCCCTTGTGTACTGAAGCACCGAGAGATCTTTCCGTTTGTATATCTTCAGGAGATAAGGGCTTTATTATTACACAACTGACTGGCTGGGCTTTCAGGCATGTGATTGGCCAACGCAAACCACGTTGAGGTTCTTGCACAGTGTATGTTGCTAAGAAGTTTTGAGGGCAGCAAGTGGGAAGCAATGGAGAGAGTGATTTTTCCGAAGAGTGGTGCTTAAAATCAACTGGATAAAACTATTGATCGGAGTTTTCAGAAGATATTGGTATTTCAGGAAGAAAAACACATAAACAAATGAGCTTACTAGTTAGAGACTATGAAAAAAAAATCTTCAGGGGCTTGCAAAAAAAGTCAGCTTCTCAAAGCATGAAATTGCAGTTCCAAAGAAATATTAAACGTCAGCATTTAGAATAGCCCCAGCGTAGACATGAGCACAGATTTCTTTCCTAGACCACCCTGGAAATACCAACTCTGGGAGTGAGAAATTTTCAGCAAGTAGTCGTTTGGGATGATAGTTTTTGACAGTTGCTTGTTGGAATTCAGACCATGACCACCATCATTACCGTGGTCTAATAAAAAGCCTGCATCGTATGGCTACAGGATATAGCTGGGTTTGGAATTAAATCACATGACATCAGTGACATTAAGGAACAAAAGTAGGACTTCTTAGCATTTTTATCCAGAAATACTGAAAAGATGTCTTGTGGTTTGGACGGTGGTTGCACAGTTTGTGATAGAAAAGTTGATTATAATTTATGGTCCGTGCTCAAAGCAAACTCAATGTAGAAAAAAAAATCAAATATATAAGAATAAAAGAAGTAGGGTGTGATCATTCACACTATCAGAAAAGATTTTTCACATCTCCGAGCAAATTTCTGCTTAATTCTTTCAAAAGGGGCTTCATTTTATACTGTTGTTGTTTGCCCACAACTTTTCAGGAATTTATATATTGAGTAGCTTGAGGTATAATTTTTATAATCTTTTCCTGCTTTAAAGCCATCTTGACACTGCATCTGAAGAGGTTTTTCTGATGAATAAAATAGTATCATCTTATTCGAATGCATAGATGAATGTCAATATCTTATATATATTTAGGCATTCATTTATTCGCATATTTATCGAGCACCTAATATGTGTCAAGGACTATTCTAGAACACAGCAGTAAGCACCTTCCAGATGCCCACATCCAGCAAGAGAAGCTGGAAGCAGAGCAAGAAGCAACCAAACAGACAAATAAATAAGCATGGTGCTTGAGATTGTGATGCATGCCATGAGGGAAATAATGATACCTCAGTGTCTAGGAGGAAGGAGACAGCTTGTAGGGAGAAGGGCTCTCTGAGGAGGGGACATTTGATCTTAGATTTGAGACATGCAACTTGGGAAGATCCTTCCGGAATAACAGTTGCAAAAGTCTTGAGGTGGGAAGGAGAAGAGGATGAGTATGGCTGGATCTTGCTGGAGATATGTCAGGGAGGCAGGTAAAGGCCAGCGACGTAGAGCCTGGTGGACCTTTTTAAAGTAGAGTAAGAAGTCTTTGGAATGTTTTAAACATGCAAAATGTTTTGTATTTTTAATAAGGTCACGCTGTGTGGAGTATAGAGGACAGCAGGGAGGAGCAGGGGTCCAGTTCGATGGCGATCGTTGAAGTCCATGTGAGAGGCGAGGGCACTTTGGACTAGGAGTGGTGTTAGAGAGGAGGGAACAAATTCAGGATCGATCGTGAAGATCCACCTGCAATAACTTGCTGATGGATTATGTGGCGGGGCGGGAGGGTGACAGAAAGAAGGGAATGCAGGATGAGGCCCCAGCGTAAAGGTTGGCCAAATGTGCCATTTGCTGAGATTGGGCAAACTGGGAGAACAACAGGTTTTTGCGAAGAGAAAAATCAAGTCTTCTCTTTGGGGCCTGTTAAGTCCGAGATGACGCTTAGACACCGGCATGGAAACTTCAAGTAGGCGGATGGCTGTAAGGTGTGGAGCTGAGGGGAGAGGCCACGGCTAGAGAGAGAAATTTGGGAGATGTGTTGATGGGGATGAGAAGGAGAGTACAGCAGGCCAGAGGAGAGTACAGCCTTGGGCTGGACTCTGGGGCACAGCACTGTTTAAGTTTGGGTGTGGGAGGAGAAGCCAGCAAAGACGATTGAGAAGCAGCAGCTAAACATGTCAAAGGAAAACTAGAAAATGGAAAGTCCATTTAGTTCCAGAAGTAGGGAGTAATGAACTGTGTTGAATACCACTGGGATATGCGTAAGATAAGGACAGAGACATGTTCATGTGGATTCGATAATATGGAACGTATGGGTATCCGTAACCAAAGAATGTGAAGTCAGGGATGCGACCCAAGTGGGCTGAGCAGTGAGTAGAGGCAAGGACATAGTGAAAAACTCTCTTGTTGGAAAGGAGAACAGAGAGAAGGGGGAGAGAGCATATGGTTTAGATTGTTTTGAAGATAGGATACTGTAGACTCTAATGTGACTACAGCATGTTGGGAATGATCTGTTGTGTGTGTAGGAAGTGTATTTGTTTTCTGTCGCTGTGTAACAAAGCACCACAAACCTCTTGGCTCACAACCATCCTCCCGGTATCTGTGGGTTAGGAGTCGGGGCCAGGCTTGGCTGGGTCTGCTGATGAGTCTCACAGGGCTGCAGTCAAAATGTTGGGTGGGCTGTGGTCTCTTTGGGAGGCTTGACTGGGGAAGAATTCACTTCTCAGCTCCCTCAGGTTGTTAGCAGAATTCATTCCCTTGCATCTGTAGGTGTGAGGATCCAGCTTCTTGCTGCCTGTTACCTGTAGGCTGCCCTCAGCTCCTAGAGCCCCTCTCCCCCAGCCACTCTCCCCCACCCCACCTCTACTCCTGCAGTACTTTATTACATGGTTTCCTCAACATGGCCTCTTACTTCATCAAGTCAGCAAGGAGAATCTTAGCCCCTGTCTGCTGGCAAGATGGAGACTCATATAAGGCACTGTAATCACAGGAGCAGTACTCCATCATCTTTGCCATATTCTATTGGTTAGAAGTGAATCATGGGTTCCACCCACACTTAAGCGGGGGAGATATGCAAGGACATGAATACCAAGAGGTGAGGGTCGTCAGGGGTTACCGTGGAGAGGAACCGAAGATGCAGAGAAAAGAGGGATAAGTTCAGGAGGAAGGTCCTTAGAAAAGTCATAGGGCAGGGGACCTGGAACCCAAGTATAGGGATTGGTCTTTGACAGAAGCAAAGACCCTTCTTCCATTAGGGAGAAGGTAGAGAAGGTAAATCCAGATGTGGGTAGTTGTATATTGGATGGTGGTCAGATGAAGTAGTATTCACCTGATGGCTTCTGTTTTCCCCCTGCAGCAGGAGGGAAGGCCATCAGCTGAGAGCAAAAGAGATTTGGGATAAGAGCTAAAGAGATAGTGTTGTGGGAGAGTGGGAGAGCAAATGTACCAGGGAAATCAGATAGAGTTGCTAGACGGTATCAAGGGCCCATCTGATGTTTGTGGTTCTACTTGTACAGTGTAAGCAGTCTGTCTGGGTATGTGATTTTCCCCACCTTCATTCCATTAGCTCAAGCATAGAGTGATAATAACAAACAGAATGCCAGCTAACGTTTATTAAGTTATTTAATTACCATGCTAGTGCAAGTCTAAGTGTACAGTCTCATTTAAACTTCATTACCTATCCCTGAGTCAGGCATTATTATAGCATCCTCATTTTACTGAAGTGATAAGCAGTTTACTTAAAGATACACAGATGTTAGGTGGCAGAGCAAGGTTTTGAGCCCTGGGCAGTCTCACTCCAGAGCTAGTACCATGAGGCCTTACACTTCACTGTCTCTTGGAGACAAAGCAGAGAGCTGGATTCAGCAGAGATGCAGTTTAGCCAGGTGGGTGAGCAATGACAAGAGAGAGAACACACTGTTGACGAAGTTGGCACTGCTGTGACTATAATGATGGACTATGGGATCTAAGAAAAGTAAGGACAGGAAGGGGCCATGGGCTGGTAAAAAAGTCAGGGGTCAGTGGATTGGAGAAAACAAAGAGGAATCAATAAAATCATTAAAAGAATGGGAATGAAATGCAGGACAACTTGGGTTCCAAGGTAATGTTAATATGAATGAATATTTGCTGAATACTTATAAGCCAAGAGCTGCACTAAATGCTTTCTATGAAGGAGGATCTATGAGAAATTATGGTTTGGGAATCAATATTCTCCAGCTGAGTATACTGACTTGGATGTGA